AAAAAAGCAGGGAGGGTGTGGTTTGGCATGATGGTGCATGCCTGTAAAGTCAGCATTTGGGAGGCCAAATACTACAAGTTTGAGGCAGCCTGGGCTACCAAGTGAGTTCAAGGCCAGCCTGAACTGCATAGCGAGACCCTATCTCAAAATGACAAAATGAAATAAAATAAAGTAATTATTCTTCATGATGCTAGACTTCAAAATACATTTAAAGGTCATTAAGGCCAGCTAGATTTTATGGACTACATACATGAAGTTGCCTATAATCTTTTCCTGTGACACATTTTTTCATATGTGCAATTTCCTTTTTAATGTTATCTTTTTTCTTCTTTGTCCCAATAGTTTAAATGTTAGCATTTTTTATAATCTTTCATGCTAGCGAGTTCATCTTTGCTTTATTTCCAATACTGAATAGATTAAAATTTTTAGAGATCTCATTTGTTTTATGTATGGCTTTACAAATTTGGCTCCAAGAAAGCACATTATTCTAGTGTTGATTTCTGTTTTGTTTTGTTTTGTTTTGTTTGAGATAGGGTCTCGCTATGTAGTTCAGGCTGGCTTTTGAACTCACTGTGTAGCCCAGGCTGGCCTCAAACTCACATTGATCCTCCTGCCTCAGCCTCCAGAAAAGTGGGATTATAGCCATGGGCCACCACAACGAGTTCCAAATGATAACTTCTTAAGCATTGTACATTTGCATAAAATGTTGAAATTTCCTCGGTAAAGGAAGAGATGTCCTTTTGTACATTGCCCCGGCCAGCAGGGCTTGTAATTAGCAGAGCTCGAGAAGGGGAGATACCTGGAAATGGGACAAGAGAGGCGCAGAGAGAAGGAGACCAAGCAAAGAGTTGTCAAGGTCTCGTTTATTTGCAGGCACAGGCAGTATATAAAGGCAAAAACCACAAATTTGTAAGAGGAAGTGGCTAATCATAAAATGATAAAGGAGAAACGTATTGTACAGTAACAGTTATGATGAGATACAGTTGTGATGTAACAGATTAGGTCATTAAATGAGCAAGGCCATTAGTGCAGTCATCGGCACATCTGTGCCAGTGAGGTGATTCAGATGTAAACATGGAGGTGGTTATGTTAGGCTCAAAAACAACTCTGAGAATATGAATATTTGGTCTCCTACAGTACATCTGCCTTTGGGCAAGATACAGTTTCTTGAGATCGCCAGGCATGGTGGCACACGCCTGTAGTCCCAGCACTCAGGAACCTGAGGCAGGAGGATTACTGAGAGTTGAGAGTTCAAGGCCAGCCTGGGGAACATAGTGAGACCCTATCTCAAAAAACACAACAAACAAAGAGAAAAAAAAAAAAATTTTTTTTTTTCCTTGAGATCTTGGCTATTTGGGCAACTACTCTGTTGTGGTGACCAGTCCTAGTTTTGGGGGTTTTGTTTTGTTTTGTTTTTTGGTACCAGAAATCTAACTTGGGACCTTGAGCTTACAAGGCAGGCACAGTGCCACTGAGTTAAATCCCCAGTCCAAGTCCTAGTTTGTTTGTTTTTTTTACTAATCTCTCTCTCTCACTCTTTCTCTCTCCCTCCCTCCCTCTATGTGGACTTTTTTGTTTTGCTTTGTTTTGTTGTACTGAGAATCAAACGCAGGGCCTTGTGCTTGCCAGGTGAGCTGCATCATATGGATTTTTATTGTTTTTAAAATTTTTTTATTTAGCCATCATAAGGCTTAGGTCGTCCCTCACAGTATTTCCAATGACTGAAGTTAGAAAGATGAGTACATGTAATCCAACCAGAGTGACCTGTCTTTATACACTCCAGTTTTTACCTATTTATTTATGAACACAACTTGTCTGCTTGTTTGCTTTTCCTTAATGTACCTGAATGTTCATGCTTACAAAAATGCGTGTGCTTACGGGGCTGCCAGGGGCCATGGAGAAAACCCCTAGGTGGGCAGTGCACCTGGAAGGCTTCTTTAGGAGAAGCAGCCAAGGCCATGAAGGTGGCCATGGATGCTGAGAGTGGGCACTTTGGCTGTGCAGACTTCGACCAGAGTAGGAGTGAGGTGGTGGCAGGAGCCCAACGCAAGATCAACTAGGGTGTTGGGACAGGAAGGGCCTGTTCCTCAACAGTACGCTGTTGTATGCCTGGCACAGGAAGTCCTTAGTGAAAGCCATTTGCAGCCAGAGTCTGAAGGCCTAACATTAGATTACTTGGACCTCCACTTTATACACTGGCCCGTAGGTTTCAAACCTGGGAAAGAGAGCCTACCTTGTCTCACAGTGGTATGGATATACTCATGACTTGGACTTCCCGGACCTGTGGGAGGCTGTAGAAGACCTGGCCATTTCAGGGCTGGTGGAGGCCACTAGGGTATCAAACTTCAACCGTGAACAGCTTCAGAAGCTTTTGAATAAATGTAATTTGAGGGTCAAGCCAATAACTAACCAGATTGAATGCACCTCATATCTTAGTTTTTGCTGAGCCAGAAATGTGCCTGTGGCTGCTTCCTGGCTATTCCCTTGCTCAAAGAAGGGGTGGATTTCATGGATGACTCTGTGATTAAAAGGATTGCAAAGAAGCCCAGCAAGTCTCCTGTTTAAATTTTGATCCCATATCAGAACGTGAGGTAAGTGCTAGTGATTCCCAAGTCTGTCACCCAAACTGGGTCCAAGAGAATATCCAGGACTGAAAATCACAGACTATCCTTTCCTCAGAGTACTGAGGACAGCTTTCCTCTTCCCTGTTTCTGCTTGGGTCATACAAACTGACAAAGCTGCTTGTGTCCACCCTATGTTATAGCCTGGGTTTGCAAGGGAATAGATTTAGTACAGGACACCTAATTTAAAAGATTATTTTATAATAGTCACCAAAAAAGTCAAATGCAGAAGAGTACAAGAGATCTGTCCCCACACTAGAGACCCAAAGAATCGAGCCAAGGGCCTGGATCCCACACAATGTCCTGCACAAATCCAGGTGAAGGCTGAGAGCCCAAGGCAATGTCCTCCATGAGTCCAGCCAGAGGCCTAGAGCCCACGGCAATGTCTTGTGCAAGTTGGTATCAAGGATCTGCACCGGGAATGCCCAAAAGCCAGGGGTGGAAGTTAGAAAGCCTGTGCTCGTGGGGTGAAGGATTTGTGACACCAAACTGAGGGATTTGCACTGGAGCCAGGAAGTGATGCTCATGGCAAAGGCCAGAGCTCCCCTAATGAGAACAGCAGCCATTCCCAACAACAGCAAGGACCTGAACTCCAAGGATGACTGAAAAGCAAAGTTTACATTAGGAAATCCACCTGAAGCAAGCTTCTCCAAGAAAATCAACAGACCCTGCTCTTCCCCTCCAGTTTTCTCTTTATGCCATTAGCAACAATCCTCAGGTGGTTCTTCCATGCCTAGACTGTAACTATTCAGTTCAGTTGGACATTCCAAGTTGACCCTTAGTTAATCCAAAAAACCCACCTTTGCAAAGGCTGCAGTCACCATGCCAGGGAAAGCTTTGGCAGAATGAGAGGTAGATGCCTAATTCTCTGAGAAATACAAAGAATTAAGGTGTGATGGAAAGACAGAGGTGTCACAAGGGTCATACTCACTGTTCAAGGGACCCACACAATGCAATGGGACTTCTTTCTATATGATAGTCCATGTGACCTCTACTCTAAAAAAAGATATTGATGACCCATGGAAAAAAACGTATGTTATTATTGCCTATTTTATTGCAGAATGGTCTAGGAAATGTCATTTTTTAAATGTTTGTCAAATAAATTCCCTTTAAAACTATAAATAAAATGCTGGGTATGGCAGTGCATGCCCGTAATCCCAGCATTCAGGAGGCTGAGTCAGGAGGATCACCATGAGTTCAAGGCCAGCATGGGCTACGTAGCAAGACCCTGTTTCAAAAAAACTAAACAAAACAAAAAAACCTCAATAAATAAATGAGAGCCAGTTGTGGTGGTGCATACCTATAATCTCTGTACACTGGGAGGTTGAAGAAGGATATAAATTTCAAGTCCATGCCAGGCAATTTAGAGACTTAGCAAAACCCTGTCTTGAAATAAAAAATAAAAAATAAGCTGGGTGTGGTGGCGCACTCCTGTAATCCCAGCACTCAGGAGGCCGAGGCAGGAGGATCCTTGTGAGTTAGAGACCAGCCTGGGCTACATGGTGAGTTCCTGTCAGTCTCAACTAAATGGTGAGACCCTGTCTCAAAAAAAAAAAAAAATAGGCTGGGGATGTCACTCAGCATAAAGGCATACTACTGAAGGAAAACAAAAAAAAAGTGTAAATAAGTATCCTTTAAAGAATTTTAATTTTTTTCAGAACTATATATATTTTTAAGATTTTTTTTAAATTAGTATGTGTGCAGTATACAATGATTACATTTGGTGTGGGGAGTTGGTACAGGTGCATAACACATCTTAATTCTTTTTTGAACCCCTTCTCCATTCCCTCTTCTCCCTCCCTCCTCCCAAATTATATTATGAGGTGCTGACCTTTTGGGATTTTAGACTTTTAAGGATTTTTGATCATTCAGGATTGTGTCTTGTGGAATTGTTGCCCCACCCCACCTCATCATAGCAGTAGTAATAATGACCATTTAACTTTACAGTGGCTTTCATACTGCTAAAATCTCACAACCCAGAAGATTAAGCGACTGGCTCAGCATCTAACCCTTGGTCCCTTCTTCTTTCCTGCTTGAAGGTGTATTTTCAGGAGAAGTCTAACCAACAGCATTGTATGAAGCAGGATTCTCCAGGGCAGGTAGCCTCGGGATAGCGCTGGAATGTCTAACCCTGAATGCCACTATGTGTGGCGAAGCAGGGGTTGGGGAGGAGGAGAAAGGGGAAAAAGACACGGAGGAGGGATGCTTTGGTTTGGGGTTTGAGCTGAGTCTCAGATAGGACTTTCTGAATGGGCCCGTCCAGAAAATCCACCTGCTTTTACGTCCCTTGTGGCTCAGCAGATACCCTGGAGAGAGCCCCGCCAGCCATCAGCAGTCGATTGTCTGTCTGCATTACCTTTTCTCCACTGCCTTCCCCAGCCGCCCGCTCCTGGTTACCACGGCAACCGCGCGGAACCGCAGTCAGCTCCGCTGTTGCACTGACTTCTCCAGCCCAGGCTGAGATGCAGTGGTGATCACTGACAGACAGAGGCAGATCCCGGAGCCCCATCCCTTCCTCCCCGAGCCGACCGTGACCCTCCGGATCCCGAGGCAACTGGGAAGAAGGAACAAGGGGGGAAGGGGTGTACCCTGGAGCCCCCATGCTGACCTCCGGCGGGTTCCACCTGCAAGGCAGAGCGGGGCGGCCAGGCGCTGAGAACCGTACAGCCATTGCAGCTGCACCTGTGCACCAGGACTCCTCGGGAGCAGGGACTCGCCGCTGATGGAGATGAAGGCCTGACTGGTGAGTACCGTCGACCCTTCCTTCGGGTGAGCAAGCCTCCAAAATGGCAAGGCTTTGTGTCTTGGTTGCCTTTTTTAAAAAATCACATTTACATGGCTTATGACTTTAAATCGCATGTGTTTCTGATATCTCGGGCTTCTTGGAACTATTTTGCCTCCCTCTAAAGACATTGCTCTCTTAGCCAGCGGGAGCTACACCCCAGGATCTGTATCTCCATTACCGCACAACACCCCACTGGTGCAGAGACCGCGCGTGCATCACACACACCCCGGAGTCTGTCAGAGAAGCGGCAGAGCTGTTTCTCAGCCACAATCATCCAGTTTCTTTTATGCTCCGATGCCGCCATCAAAGAAATAACGTCGCAAGGCAAACCAGTAGTATGCTAGGTGCCAGAGAAATGCCAGGAGATTCCTGGCAAAACCGTGTCCTTTCTGGTGAGTTCAAAGTGAATACATGAGCTCATCCAGAAAAAAACAATTGTTACGCCAGCAGGGACCTCTATTTGCGTCCAGCAGAGGGTGCTCGATAAACAGGCCCTGCGAGGACACTGGCGCCCAAGTGCGCATGTGCAGTACTCCCAGGCTGCCGCGGACGCCACTAAGGGCATTTCTGGGGCCCGCTACCAAGGGTGGCTACATTCATTCTCTCCCGCAAGCCCTGGGAAGGGCCACAGGATTTCTGGAGGAAGGTGTTTGTTTTCGAAGTGAACGACGGTGGTTCCACGGCAAAATAATTCTGTGTACCAAGTCCTCCCCTCTCCCACCACCCTCTTCTTTCTCTCCTTTTCCAAAATCTTTCTTACTGATTTAGCGCTGTGATCAACTACTTAGCATTTCCATTGTTGGGAACATTCAAGGGAAAGGTACCTTTGTTAGAATGGGAGATAAACTGAATGTCCCTACCGTATTGGTTCTCAATCCTGACTACATATTGGAACACCTGGGGGACTGTTATTGTTGTTTTTGAAACAGGCGTCTTACTATGTAGCCCAGGCTGGCCTCGAATTTACTGCGATTCTTTTGCCCCGGCCTTTGCAGTGCTGGGATTACAGGGATGTACCACCAGGTCGGCCCTGAGGGACTTAAAAATTACTAATGCCTGGGTCCCACTCCCCCAGACATTCTGACTTAATTGGACTGGGATAGAGCCTAAACGCATTTTTTTGTTTTGTTTTGTTTTGTTAATTCCCAGGGCATTCTAATGTGCTAAGGGGGCCATCCCACATTCTAATCAATCAAGGTGGAGTCTTTCCAGGTGAATTTGGCAATAGTTTTTCTCTCAGGCTGCTGTTGCAGGGCAGTGTATGTTTTTACATTTTGTTTTGTTTTTTGGAGACAGGGTCTCACTATGTAGTTCAGACTTCCCTGGAACTCACTGTGTAGCCCAGGCTGGTCTCGAATTTGCAGTGATCCTCCATCCTCATGCCTCAGCCTCCTGAGTGCTGGGATTACAGGTGTGCAACACCACGCCCAACCAAAATTTAGCTTTTTTTTTTTTTTTTTGAAGGGCAGGGTATCTAGTTATCAGGAATTCGTAGAAGCTACAGGCACAGAGAACTATCCAGAACTTGGCTGTTCAAAGACTCGCCAGTGCTGGGGATGTAGTTCAGCACCCCAGTGCCTGCCTGGCAAGCATGATGTCCTGAGTTGATTCCCGGTACAAAAAAAAAAAAAAAAAAAAAAAATGTAACGGCAATGTTTGGGGGAGGAGTCTATCACTAAATGAAATGTTTTGCTCTGTTCTAGAGTAAGGAGATGCATACCTTTGCAAGTGTGTAAGTGAAGCCCTCTTCCCAGGTAGGAACTTCATATCTGTGTACTAATCTGAGTCACATATGTGAACCCCCCCACCCCCATGCAAGGAGGAAAAAAGGAAGAGGAGGAGGTAGGAATGCAGTGGTCACTCTAACAATGAGGAAACAACAGTAGAGCTAAAAGATCATCTAGGAACTCAGCCTTACCCTTCTCAGGCTGGAAATCCAACAAATTCCTCCTAAACCCAAAAGAAAGCCTAGAAATTCCCTTTCTCTGACCTTTGGAGCATCAGAGAAATGTCCTTTCTGCAAGCATTTTTGCAAAGGATGGGGCAAAAGATTCTTCTAACTTCCACTCAAATGCCATCTCATGAATATTTATAAATCATAACTGCTGGGAAGCAGGTGGGAGGCAGAAACTACACAGCAAGTTCATAATGCCTAAGGTGTTCACAGAAATTAGGTAAGACAAGTCTGGGTGTGGTGGCACATGCCTATACTCCCAGGGCTCTGGAGGCTGAGGCAGGAAGATTGCTGTGAGTTGCAGACCAGCCGAGACTAGTAGTGAGAACCTATCTCAAAAAACAAAAACAAACAAACAAAAAAAACACCTGGGTGTTGTGGTGCACGCCTATAATCCTAGCACTTGTGAGCCTGAGACAAGAGGATTGTTGTGAGTTCAAGGCTGGCCTGGGCTAAAAATGAGTTCAAGGCCAGTCTGGACTACATAGCAAGACCCAGTCTCAAAAAAATAAACAAAAATTAGGTAAGGCCTTAGAACTCTGAAAAATGAGAATTTTAAATACCTTAGGAAGTGTCATCTAGTCAGGTCTACCGTCACATACCTGTAATCCCAGCACTTGGGAGGTTGAGGAAGGAGGATTGCAAATTTGAGGCTGGGATGGACTACATAGTGAGACCCTGTGTCCCCTCCCCCCAAAAGTTTGATCTACTAATTCCGTGCCAGAATTTCAGAATGTTATCCTTCACAGCTTCGAAAGGCTCTTGCTTTAGGTTTTTGTTGTTGTTATTGTTGTTTTTTTGAGACTGACCTGGAACTCACTATGTAGCTCAGGCTGGTGTTGAACTCACAGCGATCCTCCTGCCTCAGCTTCCCAAGTGCTAGGATTACAGGCATGTGCCCGGCTCTTGCTTTAGTTTTGGCTGAACAGAAAGGCATAAGATTTCACTGAGAGACAAGAATGAATGACATACTATGACTTCTGAAGCCCTTGGCAAGGCCTGTTATTTACTACACAAATAATCAAGATAATTAAGTCACTGTAAGGAGCCTCCATCCTCCCCTTAATTCATTGCTTCTCCAGTCCATGCACAGCCCCAGGAACATTACTTTGTCTTCTTCAGGTGCCTTTACGGAAAAGGAGGCCTCCCCTCCCTTCCTGCAGGGTTCCCAGGCATCCGCCCTGCAGAGCAGGCTGCAGGCTTCTCCCTGGCCTGCTGGTGCCTTCTCTCTCTTCCAGGGCTGCATCCCACTATCTCTGCATGAAGAGTGGCTCAGTGGCTTCTGCTACGTCCAGGCCAAATGCCCTTTTCTGGCGGGTCTTCTTAGAGCTCATCCCCCACTCAGGACAGGCTTGGCCCTGAACAAAGCCTGCCAGTCCACGATGGTCAACCCAGGAGCAGCAAACTGAGCTCTCCTGCACGAGCTCTGCTGGCTGCTCTGAGTCGTGATGCAAAATGTAATTTTTTAACACGTTTTATCTGTTGTTATTGTTCTTCTTATTATTACTGTCATTATTGTTGCTGCTGCCAGTGATCAAAGCCAAGCCTTACTCATATAGATAATTGCTCTACCACTGAGCTATAAATCCCATGCCACAAAATATAATTCTTACTGTGGGTCACAGTTGAGCAACCTTTAAATTTATCACCTTACAGCAAACTCTGATGGAAGCCAGAGTTGAATCAAAACATTAAAAAGTCAAATTCTAGCCAGGCGTGGTGGCTCATGTCTCTAATCCCAGCACTCAGGAGGCTGAAGCAGAGGAGGATTGCTGTGAGTTCAAGGCCAGCCTGAACTGTGTAGCAAGACATTGTCTCAAAACAAACAAACAAGTCAAATTCTAGAAGAGCTAACCAGAAAATAGAACTCAGCTTATTTTTGTTTGTTCTAGGGCTAGGGCTTGAACCCAGGGCCTTGCACACAACAGGGAGGAGCTCTACTGCTGAGCTATACTCCCAGCCTGAGTTGGTCCTTTTTTGGAAGCTCAGTTTTAAACAGCCTTTTTTTCTGGGTGTACTTGCTCAAGAGAGTTGTAAGGAGGTTAGAGTTTAACTTCTGTTTCTTTTCCAATATCCTGCTCCTTCGATATTGAACCAAACCTCTGTGTGTGTGTGTGTGTGTGTGTGTGTGTGTGTGTATCAGGGCAGGTGCTGAGGATCGAACCCAGGGCCTCATGCCTGCTTCATGGACTCTATCAAAGAGCTACACACCCAGCCTATGATTGATAGTTTTTGTTTGCTTGTTTTTTTTTTGAGATAAGGTCTCTCTGTGTAGTTCAGACTGTCCTTGAATGTGCAGCAATCCTCCTGTCTCAGCCTCCCAGATGCAGGGATTACAAGTGTGTGCTACCACGCTCAGCTATTGATAATTTTTATAAAGCATAACACATAATGGGATGGAGGGTGTAGTAAAATTGCATTGTGGATGGCACTGTACACTGGGAAAATTTGAGGGGGGCACAGCATGATAATATATAGGAAAAGCCATCAAATTATTATTATAAGACCCTGTCTTATTCATCCGATCAATCAATATGATCATTCTAAGAAGGTCACAGGTCTTAGAGGAAAGACAAGGTATGTAATAAATTGCAGCTCTGGGAGAATTTCCTTAGGAATTTTTGCTGTCATGGATGTATCGATGATGGAGGTTTTCTGTTGAAGCAGAAAAGGAAGAAGCTTTGGGCAGGAACAAAGGGACAGCTTGGGAAATGCGCTCTTTCTTACCAGCTCTAGCACTGAGTTCCAGGAGACAGCTCCTGGATGGGCATGTAGTGCTCCCCAGCCTGTTTCCATCCAGAAGAAGAGTGGCCATCCCCCTGCATTCCTTCTCTGGAAGATGTCTGGGTGGCGAGGTACAGTGTGTGCTTACTGGTGCCTGCCCTGCTCTTCGTCCTGAGGATGGCTGAGCTTTCTGCTGGGCACTGCACGGCAGGCCCCTGGAAGCGTCCATGCTTTCTAATATAATAAGGGGCCAGAGACAGTAGTGCCAAGGAAATCCCAA